TATATATAAATGATGATGAAGAGAGTTGAAATCCGGTGACTGTCTGTCCGTTCGTATCACCTAATACTAACGAGTTAGATATATAGGTATATATAAATGATCAGGAGGAAGAGACGAGTGAAATCCGGTGATTATTCGTCCGTCGTCCGTCTGTCCGTCCGTCCGCAAGCTCTAATTGAGTAAAATTGAGATATCTTAGAAACTTGGTAGAATATTTCATGGTACTGTAATTGGTATTAGCATGATGCATGACCACTGCCACGCCCATAAAACGCCATTAATCAAAAACAAATAATTGCTAAATAAGCTGCAATAAGATACAAGACTGTATTTGGCACAGAGGATCACATTAGGAGGACTCGCAGTTAATTTTTAAAAGTGGGCGTGGTCTCATTAAGGTTTAATGTGCATATCTCCTAAACCCAATGCTATAATAAAAAAATTCACTGGAAGCAAATGTTTTAGCATTTTATTGAGTGTGAAATAGTTGAAATGTACCGTCGCACTATATAAGGTACTGAAAACTACTAAAAGCGCGATAAATCAAGCATAACACGCCAGACATACTAAATTTTATCTCGAGATGGATAAGATGACTTTGAGAACGCCCGTATCATTAGACAGGCGGCAGTTACTTTAGGAAACCCATCTCTGAGATCTCTTAACCGATTTCAACCAAATCGGTGCGTAACGTTCTTTCATGTTTCTATGTCATAGTGCGAAAATGCGAAATCGGATTACAACCACGCTACTTCCCATGTAACACCATTTCAATTCCATCTGATTCTTTCACTTTCCACTATGCAAATCAGGTAACAATGTTTATATCGGGGTAAAACTTTGCGTGAAAAATGCAATTAAAGTATGCCCCCTTGCGGCCAAAAATTGTCTAAATCGAACCAAAACTGTTCAAACCCCTAAGTAGTAAATATGTAGACCCCAGTGCCTATAGTTGACCTTCTACCGAAAATATCAGTCAATCCACAAAGAAATCTCAAACGAGTATACCATTTGACTTTGCGAGAGTATAAAATGTTCGGTTACATCCGAACTTAACGCTTCCTCACTTGTTATATATATGTATGTAGATTTGTATATGCATTACTTATTTTCCAATGTCATACGCAAATTTGTACATACATACTTACATATAGAGCAGTGCGCGTACTCGTATTTATTGATGAGTGATAATATATTATTATATTATATTATATTATATAATATTACATATTGATGTACATATGTACATACATAAATTATTAATTTTGTAACAATTGAAATTAGAAAATAATTTAAAAATTAATATATATTTTTTTGGCATGATCTTTCACAATTTACCATGCCTCATTTGTGCAAAAAAAAAAATTATATTTTATCAATTTGTAATCATAAAAATCGTTTATATGACAAAAAATAATCACGAATACGGGAAGCAGCATTTGTATTTATTGTGTAAAGTATTTCATTTTCATATGTTGGTAGATACGTATTTCTGCAAGAGAACATGGTTATAAAGTCACATTTATGTTAAATAACAGCAAATACTACGGGAAATGGTGAACTCCCTGATTTCAATTTTCAGCTCTGTTAGCCGCCCAATCGAGCATCATACAAAATTCAATTTGCACATTCTCGTTCTTCTAAGTTCTCTGGTTAAACGGTTGTTCATATTAGTTTCATATCATGAGCTAGATATAGAAAAAAGAGGTTGGTATAGGATGATTCTCACGCCCTCAAAATTTCGTTGATTGAAAAATATAAAGTGCTATAACTAGGTTACAGATCAAGGTAAAAAACTTAAACTTGGTACAGAGGCAGTCTGTGATTTAAAGATGTTTAAAAAGTGCGTGCGACCCTGTTCTCTATTATGTTCAATATCCAAATTTCAGTGGTTATAGCTTTATAAACCTAATTATGAAAAACAAGATCGTCAGAATTGAGCCACAATAATCATATAAAACATCAAATAGAGCAACTATTAAATTTTTTATGATGTCGCAGTAATACACTTGAATATTTCACTGAATCTATTGAATTAGAGAAAATATAAAATTATAGCTAAGAGATTTGTACAGCGTCTACCCATAGGAATGTCGTGATTTTGACAGTTCGTGGCGAACATGCTGGCGTACAGATTTGTGCCAAATTTTGTCAGTGTGTTCAGTAAGATTTGCCTATTTATCATGTGTTTTGGTATAATGCTTCAAAATTGTTCAAAATTATTACGCAAATTCACGTTTTCCAGTGGCTACTGTAAGAGCTCTTCGCGCAATAAATCATCTTCTCAGATGAGGCCCATTTCTGGCTTAATAACTTCGTCAACAAACAAAAGTGTCGCTTTTGGGGTGAGTTCAATCCTCGTGGGGTTCAGGAAACGCAACTGCATCGCCAAAAATTAACCGCTTGGTCCGAAATATAGTATGGCAGCATCATCGGGCCTTGTTTCTTTCGAAATCAGGCAGAAAATGCTATTAAAATCAATAGCAACCGTTATAACACGACATGAAATCGACGCGGAAGATCTGTATATCCAACAAGACGGTGCGCCGCCTCATGTTTCACGTCTAAACATGGACACATTGCGTGCAAAGTTTGGAGACTCGTTAATTTCGAGAAACGGCCCAGTGAAATGACCGCCAATATCATGTGATTTAATGCCTGTAGATTATTTTCTCTGGTATGTTCAATCAAAGGTTTTCGCCAATCAACCAGCAACGCTCGAGGAGCTCGAAAATAACATTCAGTGCACTATAGCCGAAATTCCAGCTCAAATGCTGCACCGGGTCATCAAAAATTGGCGTTGTTTTTTTGAAATTTTGTTGAAATCATAAATGGCATAAACTTATCTGCATAACAAAAAAAAAATACTAATTTTGACCGAATTTGAGTGTTGTATTTCATTTTAACATCACGTCGTTCTTGTTGGTAAACCCTATATATTATATGTATGTGTTTTTTAGCAGATTGTCCTCCGGCATGTTTTGTTCTTTTACGTTAAGTTGAGCTTGTAATACGAGCACATATATAAAAAATCATTTAATTGCGAAACAATAATTGAAATCTGACTTGATTGGATTGGTTTCAGTATCGTACATGTACATAGGTACTTGTATATGAAAGTTTTACAAGCATTAAGTGGTTTTCAGTCCACAACTACGTGATTAAATAATTTCTACAAGGAGTGATGTATGTATGTATGTACATTTATTGTGTGTCAAATTTAGTTATTGGTTATTTAAACTATTTCATGTAAACTATAAAACCACAGAGATAAAATTCGTAAATATGATTAGTGTGAGATGAAACATTTTTGACAGTATAAAACGATATGTCTAAATTTCCTCACTTAGTTCATGCTCTATTATTAACAAAATTAAATTTATATGTTAATATTTTTTTAAATCATACATATCTCAATACAAATAAAATGTATTATGTGCATAATAAATACATAAATATGCCTTTTTTGAATTCAACAATATAAAACAAAATATCGAACACAAAAATTTTATAAGCTCAAGGATTTTATATATAATATAAGCAAATATCTTTTCCCATACGATAGCATGTCGCACTTTCAAGACAACGCCTGAAGTGTGGTATGTTCAAATTAAATCGATAATAGATCTGTGTTAGAAGATCCACAAAAANAAAAAAAAACAATTTTTTTACATACATTTTTACATATACCGGACACCCACCGTCGCAGTGTTTTTGTTCGGCACATATGGGAGCAAGGCAAAAACTTGTGTTTAATATGTATTCTTAAATTCACAAAAGTGCACAAAAGTTGTATTGTATTAACTGTGTTATATTTAAGAAATTAATTTGTACTTAGGAAAGGCATAAGTTGAATAAATATCCACGAAACGATTTACCAAAATAAAAATCACCCAATTCAATAGAGTTCAAATACATATTTTAGACCCGTAACCACTCGACAACAATGTCAATAAAAATTACAACAACATAATAGAGGAGGAATGATTGACAATCATAACGTTCACACATTTTATGAACTCTTGCCCGTTAATCAGAGATAATTTGAACGATATATTACCATAATAGTGTCCGTGTCCGGTCGATAAAACGTACTCCTGTCCGCTTATAGGTTTTGTATGAAAATATTAATGAAAACGCTGTGTTCATGAAATGTGTCCGGTTATGGGACACGTCCAGTTATAAGGGCTTACGGTATTGGTGAATTTCACTGTATTTAGGCACTTGTATATTAAGAATCAATGAAAAATATATTTCATGTGACATTAAGTCGAAATAATCTTATTTGATTTGTTGAAACCAATTGGGTAAACTTAAATTTTTTGAATTCAATTCTTTTTCCATTTCATTTTTTAAGTCAGTGTATTGAAAACTGAAAAAAGAAATATTTCATGTATACATAATTATGTATGCATGTCTATTGCACGTTGCAATTTCCATAATTTCGTTATTGAACTGTCTGCTGGTACATGTACGTACATAAAAATTTTGGTTACATGAATTTTACATCGTATATGTATTCAAGTATTTTCAATTCTGTATAACACCTTGATACCTTATTATATACATATGTGCAAACATACATACAATATGTATATATTATATATAGAGTTTAAAAATATTTATATCCAAAATTGACATATACTACGTAGTTGTATTATACGATGATTTAGTGTAACACATACACATATATAACATTGTATATAATATCACATATTGAGAGATTTCTGCTAATTTCTGAACGCTGACGCTTACTCTGTGTTTTTATTGGCCGATCTTTTATTTTATATACAATAATGATTGGCCACTGATGCTCAGTCAGAGTAACATGACTACATAAGGCAATCATGTTTACCACTCTTGCATACGTAATATTATCATTCCTATCTAGTTTGAGATCACCAAACGGAATATTTTTCTCTCTCTTACTCAAGGGTTTCTATAATCAACTACACTAACGATCACACAGCTAGACTGCTACAGTAATAACATCTTGATCTCTACAACTTAGTCACCCTCATGAAAGAAGGCAATACAACTAAGAACGATCCGACTATGACAGCGTTCGAAGTAAAGAAGGTGAGGCCAAATTACTTCAGTGTCAGTTTGGCGATAGCATTGAATCGGGTAACAGTACTATTCGTACTGTTAAATTTTTTGTAATTTAACTAGTTTTCCAAAGCAAATACCTAAGCTTTCTTTAATTGCAAAACTTTTGTAATTCATATTTGTGAACGAAAATATGCATACTTAAATGTACACACCTACATACGTATATATGAATGGATATGTGAGAAAACTCGTATTAATTGTAGTTGTTAAATACTTTACATGAAACTTGCGGAAAGTTGTATGAAACATGAATATTTAAAATAATTCCTTCTGAAAAAATAAATATGTGAATATTAAACGTCTTCAATTAAACTAAAATAATTGAATATATCTGAATATTTTTGAAAATTTTGTAATTAAATGGTAATTCATGGTTGTGCATGGAAAGTTGCATTGAAGTTATGACATACTTGTAGTATGGAATACCTGAAATTTGAAAAAACTCGAGGTATTAGTTTTATCAAGTGCAAATAATTTGAAAGTAATCAATAAGCTTAAAGCATTGACAACTTTAAAAAGTGAGAGTTTGTTTTATGTTGCAATCCTTTCTACAGTATAGTCACAGTTACTAAAAAAAACATATAAACCAAAACCACCTAAAAGTTATTTATAATAATGGATTTATCTGCAGCGCTTTACTTATGCTTAATAGCATTATGCACATCAACGGGAAGTAAACCGAAACCAGGTCGAGGAAAAGGATCCATGTGGTGGTAAGTCCGCAAATTGCATAAAGTATTAAAACAATCTCGTTCTTAAAACAACAATGATTCAATTTAAGTTTGCTGCTTAAGTCTTTTGTTATTTTGGTTTTTTTTTTTAAGAAAGAAACTCGGCGTTTGCAACAAAATAAAATATTATGCACCGGAATTACTATTTATTTTTTGGTAGAATATGTCCTTTCATTGAGGGTGGATCACATTATTACTAAAAGGACAAGGAAAGCGAATCTATATATACATATACTTGTATGTATATGTGTAGATATAAATATCAACGTCCAGTAAATGCAGTTAATAAAAGTTAGAAAAAGTCTTATGCACTCGATACTTGATTTTAAAAACTATAAAACCTTAATATTTAATGGAAAATCTAATTGATAATAAATGTATGTATAGGTACAAAAATTAGAACCGAATATTTTGTCAAGCATCATCCAATCTAATTTAATTTTTTTTACAAATGCTTCTATATACAAAATTAATTATTGGTATATTAAGCGCCCTAATATTATTTAATGTATCCATATGATTTATAATTGAAATATTTTCTTTCAAAATGTTACACACCCATATGTATATAAATAATCGAACTACTAAGATAATTATATCAATTTAATAAATAAAAATAACAATAATTAAACCTAAAACACACTTACAAACAGAACTAATGTGAACATATGGTATTTTCTATATGTAAGGTTCTTTAGCTCAAAAGAAGGAATATGGAGCTGAGTATATAGCAAAGGAATCATCAGTTTCATTCTTCCTTTTTTCGAACTAATTAATCAGCTTTCATTGCAAAACAAGTGGTGATGCGTATGTAATGTAGTATTTCGGTTTTCACGACGAGTTAATAATGGTTCCTCCATAGTACACGTTTTTATAGCTATACAACAAGAAATTTATTATATGAAATGATTTATTATTGCTTTTTTATTCTAGGGGTATAGCTAAAGTGGGGGAACCAAATAATATATCACCACTTAGCTCAGGTATTATGTATATGGATCCCGCCATTCATTCCACACTACGACGAAAACAACGACGCTTAGTTCGTGATAATCCTGGCGTATTGGGTGCACTAGTGAAAGGAGCCAACCTTGCTATAAGTGAATGTCAGCATCAATTTCGAAATCGGCGTTGGAACTGTTCAACAAGAAATTTTCTGCGCGGCAAAAATTTGTTCGGCAAAATTGTCGATAGAGGTAAGGCTATTTATGTTTTGGAAGTTGTATACTTTTATATATATTATTATTGTTCAACATTTAACATTTATGGTTTTATACATGTGTATGTCCTATTTAATCATAATCGATTTAGACGTTTCAAATTACAAATTTTGTACAATATCCTTTAAGGTAATAGGCGGAAAGAAAGTGGCATTTATCTGAACACTTCTTTTTTTCAATAGAGATTTCGACCACACTCGAAGTTCGAAAACCTCACAGCAGGATGCTGCCCATACCTGATATAAAATACGCCTTTTGCATTATTAACACATACAATTTTCTTGTTCACACCAAATGTAATAAGAAAATCATTCTTTAGCTGTCAGCACTCATGCTGTCTGCGCTGTTGTGCGCCTTTGCTCTGTAACTAATGAAGTTGTCATTTACAACGTAATAGGTGGCTTCTGTTGCCTTAGGACAATTTTGTCAATCTTCTGAATTGCTGACAGTTTGATGCATGTCCAATTTCCTCCACATACATACACCTAAATGTATGTATATGTATTCAACCATCTGTTATTATCTTCATTTTTAGAAGCCAGGTCCAAAAGTGACCTGCAAGATTTTCTGCAGCTTTTTAACAACTGCATGATATTTGACTGATCCCAAATATCCCAATAAAATCGTCTATAGTTTCACCCTTTTAATTCATTATTTATAAATTATATGTAGATACTGAATTTTCATCTTTAACAAGAAAGCTCTCTCTAGGTTTATATCCTTTGTCATATAATGAAACTTACAGATTTCAGTACCACAGTTTAATGCTGATGTTTTTAACAACGTTCTTAAAAAAATTTTTTTTGTTAAACTTATTGTGAATGATCTTCATCATATTTAGTGCTCTAAACAGAGAATTTAACAGGTAAATAAGTAGCAGCACATAGATGTTTAATTACGGTCCTCGCTAAACTTATTTGAAATGTATACATATATGATACAATAGTTTCGGAGATAAAAAACTAAACTAATTTGGGGTGTAACCGAACATTTCATACTCTTGCAACTCTCAAGGCTCAAAGCGGCGGAAATACCATCAGGTGTTGGCAAAACTGCATATCAAAGAATGTTGCAAAAGAATTCAACATGCATTATTCGACGAAAATTATATTAAAATCATGTTCAAATTTCATATATCTGACATAACCTTAACCGAACCGAACGGAAATTATTGTATATTCGGCGTTAAACTAAAGTATGTATATCCAAGATTATACGTTCATTTAATTTTGATAGGATATCTTACATATTGACCGATATATACGGTATTCAACTAACCGGAAAATTCAAAATCTTGCAGTAGGTATATGGGGGATGGATGTAGTAGTGACCCGATTTTATCCAGTTTTGACACTACTTCATATTATTAACAAAAAAGTATGTTCTCTGAGTTTCATTGTGAGGTACCTATCACATACCCTCAAAAATATATAAGGAGTAAAGTCAACTAGATGTTTGAAAATCCTGATATTAGTTATCCATTTTAAACACAGATATGTACCGTTAGGAGTGAACTCACTCAATTTTACTAAGATAACTCACATATTGGCTGATATATTGGGTATAAGGTCAGCCGGAAGTTCGAAAATCTTTCTATTATATACAGACATACTATTATCAGGAAAGGATTATCTACTTATTTCAAATATATATCACGTTGGCCGATATTTTCGGCAAAAAGTCAGCCATAGGCTCTGGGGTCAACATCTATGGTATGATTTTGATATTTTAAAGAGCTTCGGCGGCATACCTTAATGGCACTATTTGTGAAAAGTTTTAATCCGATCTAATAATTGGTGCTTTATATGTATACTGTAAAGTAAGTAAAAAAATTAGATGGAATTTAAAGTTGTTTTATATAGGAAGTAGGTGATTACAGTTCGGTTTTGCCCATTTTAGCACAATAATATTGGAATGTCAAAATAATGCTGTGTACCAAATTTGATTGAAATTGGTCGAGCAAAATGTCTATGACGCATTTAGTTATTGATTTATCGCACTTTTAGTCGTTTTTGACAAAACTTGATGCATTTATCATCCGATTTCACCCATTTTCAAACTATCGGTAGAGTTTCAGAATAATTAGTTCTGTGCAAATTTCGGTGATATAGCTTAAATGGTTTGGGCGATATATACCTTAAACTTATAATAGGACAGTAAATTACAATTACGTATCTTAATTTGCGACTAAGTTATGCCATTTTATAGGCTTTCGATTAATGGCGGTTTGTGGTCCGATTACGCCCATCTAAGAGCTCGTCCTCCCGATTTGACTAAGAAACACATGTACAAAGTTTCATGTTTTTTCTCAAGTAACAGTTTGCACAGACAGACGGACGGACGCGCGAATAGACAGTCAACCGGATTTCAATTCGTCTCGTATCTCTATATCTAACTCGATTATTTTTAGGTGATACAAACAACTGTTAGGTGAACAAAACTATTATTCTCTGTAGCAACATGTTGCAAGAGTATACAAATCTAGACGTAATAGAAAAAATTGGTCAACAGAAATATATTCAAAGTGCTTTAAAATAAATTTACTCTCTCCCAGGCATACATATATAATATACAATAATATGTATACACACATATTTGTTAATAATGAAAAAGTTCTCTCCGTAAATCTCTTGTATTGCATATACACACATATATGTATATGTATAGTTATATATATGGGTAAATATATACATACATAAGACAGTAAGTATTTAAATACAAGGAGCATTGTAAACTGTAAGATCATATGTCTTAACTGGATTTTCCGTGATAATATCCTCTCTTGTCTTGATGAATCAATATAACATGTTAAACAAATATAGACACACGACCTTTAAGCTAAAGCAGCTTAAATAACAGGAATAACAAACACATATTGTTGTGTCTGCAAATAAATAATCCTCAACAGCACTAGAAACGAGATACATGTCAATGTTCATTTTTAAGTGGTTAAACACATATGTATGTACATAGACCGTTCATAAGTACTAATACATCCATTCAAATGTATGTACGCGTGCGGCTCTTTTACAAATTGGGTGCTGCTTTAAAAAGGATGAACAACTGCAAATACTGATCAAAGATGATACAAGTGCTTGCGCCACGAAAAGGGAAAAAGAGAAGTCCCTAATATTGCACAAAACAATTGGGTGAAATACAGACGTCCGGACGAGGACTCTTCCCAACAATACCGAGTAACAAAACAAGTAGGCAAGGACTTGGATGAATGGAAGGAACATTAAGTATTAGCGGCCCTACAGCTGAGCCCAATATTACAATTAAATCACATACGTGAATATGTGTATTTAAATATACACAAATATATTCAGTCAGTAAATTGAAATGTAATAGGAATACTCAACTATACAATACCTATTGTTAATGTTCTCCGGCAATTTCAACTAAGTAGAGCAACATCCACATATGTATATGTATGTATATGTGTATATGTTCGAAAGGAAAGTTCCACGCCTGTCGTTTATTTATTGGATCAGTTATGAATATACTAATATCCAAACCCAAAACTTTTGTGTGCAAAATACTGTAATAACCATAAACTTCATATTCCAAAAAATATCCTAAACATAAGAAAAATTACAATGCCTACGCATGCTGAAGCGTGGCCCGTGAAATTTGCTCAAGTATTAGCAATACATCTATTATGGGATGTGTGTTGTATTAGTAAACGTTAACATATACTTGTACCACAAAACGCATTTTTTAACATAAGAACAAATAATATACATATAAATATGTACCAAAAAGATTTGAAGCAGAAACGTACGTTTAATGCGTCATAATTTTATCATATATATGAAAATAAGAACGTGGCTTTGACGTCTTAAAAATATATATAAGTATGTTTGTACATGTGAAAAGTTACATTTTTTAGCGTACAAAAATCAAGATGGCAAACCTATGTTAAAACTTTCGTGTACGTTTGCGTATATCGACCAGGTGCGCATGCCCTTTTCTTATCTTTAGCAAACCATCGAAATAATCTGAACCGTGCGTCTCTTTCCCTTATTTATACTACAATGTACGTATGATTCAGGGATGTTAGCTGTTTTGGAACATCGATACCTACGAGTTAATATCGGTAGTGGTTCAGTTTATCGACAATATAAATATTTATTATTTGAAAACGTTTGTTGCACTTCAGCATATTTGAAATATTATATGATTGCCGCCATTCAATTTGTTAGGTTTTGCTAAAGCTAAAAAATATAATATTAAACATATATATATTAGGTCGGAACTAAGGTACTTAAGGTTAAATGAGCTTGTGACATTTGTTTTTGGTCCTTCGTCCGTTTCTTTAAATGATTTAAAATTTGTGGGGTTTAGTTAACCAAGCTTCAGTGCCGGCCGCCCAAAACTCTTCAACATTTTAAGGGACTGAGTTTCGAATAACTCTTTTCTTTAATATATTCCACAGATTTTCATTGGTTAATTTATGTCAAGCGTTTCCTGTCCAGGAGTCATTTCAGTGTTATTTTTTCCTTGTGTTTAGTGTCATTATCTTGCATGAGTAAAAGTGTCCCCTGGTTTGCAGCCAATTTTTCGGTTAGAGTCCTTTAGAAAATTAATGCAATCCTAGGATTCTTCCATTAATTCGATTAATTTTACGAATAATTCCTAGTTTATTGCTCTGAAAACAACCCGATAGCACAAGAGAGCCACCACAATATTTTAACGTTTGTTGAATGTTGCGTGAAGTTTTATCAACATTTTTGTCGTACCAAGATTATACTCTCCCGTTAGATCCCAAATCATTTACTTTGGATTCATCAGACCACGGAATCAGCTTCCATTGTTCAACATCCCAATTTGCATGTTGCTTAAAGGTGTCTGCAGAGTGAACGCTTAAAGCCGAACTGAGCGCAAAGCTGAGTTTCGTTACAGACATTAATATTTAAAAAAGTGATTACTTTATTGGCTTCTATCCAATTTTCTATGGCTCCCGACAACAATAATCGTTTCAAGGATCCTTCGCGCATGGAGATAAATTCTGTGGTTTTTCAGTTTTAACAGTATTTTTCGGCAAACTTGTTTTTTTTTCGAATTTTTGAAATAAAACCAATTGAAATATCGCGCATACTTTTTTCTCCAATATGCCTTAGTTTACTTAAGATAGAATTTTCGGCATTTTGTCCTATCAAATTTGTCATTAATAATTCATATAAAAGTAAATATGTGTGTTATAAATTATTTAATCTGACTCAGCAAGACAAGTGGTTAAGAAACTATAACTTAAACTGCTTCTATCAAACACAAAAATGAGCCGTAAATTTTTGAGACACCTACGGAATAGCTATCATTAAAATGACGCTCAATGTAAGAACAGTATGAAACCAGAATGCGTACCTGTTACAAAAAATTTTAAGAATATCGCAAATTTTTCAATAAAAAAATAAAATGTAAAAATATTACTTTTAGTAAACACTTTCGGGCTCACTGTATACATATGTATGTATATATTTTAATATTGATTATCTCATATTCACTGGAGGCCATGTGTTCCGAAGTGTAGTTGATATTTTTATCTTTATTTTTTTTTTTTATTCAGAATGTATCTGCTGCGTGACACACGCCTTATTTTTCTAGTTAGATACATATGCACGAAGGTTCACCGGTGTGCTTAGGATGTTTGTGTTAAATTTTTGGTTAATATATATGTTGCTTATATACTTGTATATTTTATTATTATATACTAACTTTTCATATTATCGTGACAAATAGGTCGTACACTGGCACACGCCTTTAAACAGAGCACCACCGTACCCACTCCCTCTTAATATTTACATATGTATGTACTTATGGTAAATATGTGTATGTATAAATATTACAAAAAGCGAATACTCGAACTTCCTTCCGCATGTGTCTTATCAAAACTGAGATCGTTTTGTACAGCAAAACAATAAAAAAATTTCAAAAGGCAAACACTTCGGTGCGGCAAGTGTACTGGTATATACGGTAAATATTAGTTTAAATATGTGGGAAATGAAATTTAATGCAAACAATGTATGCACATTTAGTAGGAATTCGAAGATACCACATAAAAATGAAATTGTAAGCCAATTTTAATTCATTTTCTTTTTAAAATGTTTTTTTTTTTAGATAAATTTTTAATTTAAATAAAAGAGTATGTACTCTATATGTATAATATGGTAAGATGTTATCACACAACAAAATTCCTCCGAAAGACGTGTCGTAAATTTCTGCTTGTTTATACACAAACTCAGCTAGCAAAGAACAGTTGAAGGAATAGTTAAATATTTGACTTAAATATCTACAATTAGATTTAAAACTTCTAGAGAGAAATTTTGTACACATAAAATAATATCGTTTTTCCTTTTAAATCAATGAAATGTTCTTTTAAGCTTCAATATTTTTTTCTTAAACATAAATTTGAAACAAACATTGAGACGCGTCTGCATTCTTTAGGCTTGTATCAATATTTACATATACCGTGAAGCTAAAATACAGTAAATACTTGTCAAATAAATCAAAACATGACCTGCAGGTTTAGAGTTCTTCTCCTTTATTATTGGGCATAAATTATCTAGGTCGAGAATATAGGTACTCCACCAAAAACTACTGGTAGGGAAAAAATTGCTATACTACGTGGACATAAAAACAAAATTAAAAAAATGTTAAACACAAATATTTTCGAACTATATACATATTTCGATATCTGAAAATAAAAAAAAATTTCTTCAAAGTGTATTTACAGCCCCAACAAAATTGACATATCTACAACTACTATGTTTTATGTATAATTATCAGATATGTTACAGAAGCCGAATGATATTGATGTGATTTCCTTTTAACAAACCGAATGATTTAATTTTATTTTAAATCGAAAGAGCTGTTTAAAGAAAATAATATTTGTTTTCAACTGATATGTAATTATTATATACCCCAAAAATTTAAATTTTATCGAGCTAACATGAGTTCTGCCATATGAGTATTGCAAAATAATGATTTCACGTTACAAATAACTCGAAATAGGCTTTTAAGGGATTATTAATTTCAAAAATATGAAAAAAATTGATGATTTACTGTTTTTATACTTTTATTTATTATTATATATTTGTTAATAGCTTTGTAGCATATTATCAAGTAAGCAAGGTTGTATTTAAAATAAAAACATATGATGGCAAGACTTCCACTTTACTTGCAATAGGGAGATTGTAACGATGTCTTTCAGAAGGGCGTTTCCAACTGGCCGTTAGGAAAGATGCAGACGTTTGATTAGGAAGAAGCATCGTATCGAAAGTACTTAGTTGACTAATAGAAGGAGTTGGAACCGCATGGCAATGATAAAAAAAATTGTATATACCTAAAGTGATTAGTTGTATTGATGGCGCGCAGTTTACTACAAAATACTTTATTAAAAACTTAATTTTTTTCCATAAAATTGATATAAGTCTCCTGTTCAATATTCTTGTGAGAAGTACATTTGATTTTAAAACTGAATCATTTCGTTTGTATGTAAAAGTGAAATGCAGAACATTCAGTCCAACGAGTAATGGTGGCAAATTGACCGGAACACAACGTGATATTATGTGCTCACCAAAGTGTTATCTCAATAAATCCATTGATTGATACGATATGTGAAAAGTGGCACCATCTTGTTAAATCCAAATGTCGCCGAGATCACGAGCTTCAATTTCATTAAATAGTCGTTTATCATGGTGCGATAACGGTCGCCATTGACGGGCACGTTTTCACCACACCAAACCGTTATTTTTCCTGTATGAATTAGTAGCTGTTGAATCTCTTCAGGTTGCTCTTCGTCCCATATGCAGCTCTTTTGCTTGTTAACATACGCATTGAACCAGAAATGGGTCTCCTCGCTGTACAAAATTTGCCTCGAAAACGTCGGATCTTCTTCGAACTTTTCATGAACCCATAGAACGAAACGAAGTCGCTTGGGAAGGTCGAGTGGCTTCATTCCTTGCTCAAGCTGTATTTTGTACGCTTTCAATTTAAAATCTCGTTGTAAAATGCGCAAAGTCGTTCCATACGTCAGTCCGAGTTGCTGCGAACGGCGCCGAATCGACTCTAAACAGTCTTCGTGTACACTCTCAGCAACGGCCGCTATATTTTCTTTACTGCATGCTAGAGTCTTTTCTGTCTAATATTATCCAATAATGAACTATGGGTCTCAGGATGGGTGATGGTGTTGCGAATATTACGCTCAGCAGGTCTTTTCATGATAAAATGCCAAACAATTCTAAACAAAAATAACATAACAGCTTGACACAACTCACGTGTGATTTGTCAAAAAAAGCTATTGAAAAAAGTGCATCTAATTCAATCTCTATACTTTAAGCCCACATAAAGTAATTTACATACAAATATGAATTTCCATAAAACTCTTCATGAAACGGAGAACTGCGACTTCGGTCGGACCTTTCGATTGTGACATAAGGGTTCATAAAAATAAAAATACAGTAAAATTGGTTGCAAACAATCTGTAATAATTAATTTTTACTTTTATTGTTGTAGCAGTATGCTATCGACTTATCTTGCTCCATGATAATTTAATAATGATAACTTGAGCTGTCATATAACCGGAATTTCGAAGACAACTTCTATTATTCGATTGTTATTTTGAACATTCAAAATTTTCATGTCTACACTTACGTATATGCATATTTGTGGAATATATGGAAACTTTTTATTGAATTTTAGTGTATTTATGTGCGAATGACGCTACGAAATAGTTATGTAAATTTGATGGATGCAAATTATCTGAATATTAGTTATTTGCATGTTAAATATCTAAAATACTTTAAGAAACAAAAACAAAACAAAGGAGCAAAGTAACGGTATTTACAAAAAGGACGAATATGAAATATGAAAAATAAATACATTGCATCTCCTACATGTTATTTACAGAAACCTATACCATTCCTTCGAATAATATGCGAAACCTTACAATAATAACATTATTATGGACTAAATTATTACGGTTTTTTACTATTGAATATACTAGCTTGGCGGAATAATATTTATACATACATATGTTGATAGTTAAGTACGTATCCAAACGTATAGGTATGCTCCAATGTGCTCAGTTAGATCGAGTTTAAAAAATGTGTTCTTCCTAAAAATTTCAAATTTGTCACATTAGTGTATACTCCATTAGCATTTGAGGACAGCCCTATGATTTCTATATACATACATACATAAGTTTATATGTGTATACGTTTGTAATGCTTATATTTTATTCGCTGTCACTTTAATGTTCATTCATAATGGATATGCTCCTATTTCGCATTTTGTACATTCATTATTTTATAAACATTTATTTTCTTTCAGGCTGTCGTGAGACTGGCTTTATTTATGCCATCACCAGTGCCGCTGTCACACATTCGATTGCGCGCGCCTGCAGCGAGGGCTCCATTGAATCGTGCACCTGTGATTATAGCCATCAGTCGCGATCGCCGCAAGCGAGCCACCAAACAGGCAGCGTAGCGGGTGTTCGCGACTGGGAATGGGGAGGGTGCTCGGACAATATCGGATTTGGTTTTAAATTCTCACGTGATTTCGTAGACACTGGTGAACGTGGTCGCAATTTGAGAGAAAAAATGAACTTACATAATAACGAAGCTGGCCGCAGTGTAAGTACTATTTGCTTAGAATAGAATTTATTAATTTTTTTAATACACGGAAAGTTATATTTATTAAGTTGACGTTAAACGATTACTATCAATAGTGAAATTGTAGAAAATAATATGAAGCTATTGCGGTTTTAATATTTTTCCATATAAGAAATTTTCATATAAGAATTTCGGTACCATTTCTGTGCACACAAGATTAATTTAAATATTCGTCTTAAACTAAGCAAATTATCTATAAATTTTTAAGCGCATAAATAAACAATCTTTAAACTAAAACTTTGGAATGAAATCCAAACATTTGCTTATAATAAGGATTACCATTCTGTATAATTATCGGCTTAAAAAATAATTACTAGTTACACCGATCAAACATCTCATTATAGGTATTCATGTGTGGTAGATTGCACTGTATTCGTAATAAAAAGATAGTAAATAGTAATGACAATTAAAAAAAATAGAGGCTACTTCATAGTTCTCGTATATACTACGCTGACAAGTATAAAAACCACAACGACTATAAAGACAACATTTTATGACCACTTTGGCAGTCTGTGTTAATTGCAATGGTGCTTGATAGCGGATACACTATTACATTTTTTGAAACTACAACCATTGCAGGGAATTTTAATGGATTGTTTCCAATAAGATTAACCCGTTTATAATTTGCACAAACAAGTATAATATGGGTACGTAGATATATTATTCGCTTTGTATCTTCTTCAATTGCATACATATGTATATACATATACAAAAATGTATATATACGTACCTAGTTTGATTCGCCGAGATATATATAAATGAACATTTGAGCTTAAATCGTAAAATGTGTAATAGTTCATTTGCTCTTGATTTATACTTCTCATTTTTATATTTTTTATTTGAAGTTACTGCGCTGTTGCTCTAAATCCGTGGGGCAATAAATACATACCGCACTTCACAGCGTTTATTGAACACGCAACGCGAGTTGGTGGCCAGCCGCCTTTTTTTCATGTCTGCCACACACAGATTCGATTCCTACCGTGCAGCTTGCTGGTAACCAATATTAATATGTTGACAGCAAAGCTGATAGGAAAACTGAAGTGCCCGCTAAAAAGGAAAGTTTTCGTTGTGAGTAGAATAAGTCCCCAATACCCTGCACGCCATGTGCTTGTAAATATTTACTAACATAGTATTTATAGGGATACAAGCGACCGCGGTAAACAAAAGTTCTTAGCCTTAGTAAAAATATATATACATATGTATATATATATATGTATATAGGTAAAACTCAGAACGTTCTCTATCAAAACTATTAGATAATTATTATATTATAAGGGTTAAGATGCAATCAAATGCAATTGGTGATAGCGTAAATAATTTTTTCAAATATTTTTCTAAAACGTTCAATATTTATATAATCTACACTTTTGCATATGGTCAAACATGTTTATTTATTGTAAAATCTGTATTAATGTGTCTTCTCGTGCATATTGTGCTTATTGTGGTTTTTAAACTTTGTATGAACCACTAATTGCTTGCGCAATTAATATCAAATTGGATAATTTTTTCTCCCTTCCCAGTGAGTTTTGTATGAGTTATATTTTTAGAAAAAAACTACTTGTAGTTTATAATATTATATATATACATATGTATCAAGATCTTAAAATTAAGTTACATTCCCTTGTCAACTGGCTATTCGTTCTGTTGCTCTCCATTCGTCGATTTATTCTTCTCTGCACTATTATTAATACGTTGCCACGGTATTAAGCTTTATTGAATGTGTTACTGAGATGGCCTTCCTTATGTGTTGATACTGATACTGTTGCTACTTTGGTTGTTGTGAAAATATCAACAAGCGCATAAAAATTGGGCTCATGCTGCGCGATTTTTTGCTTAATACGGCAACATTTGCGTGAACGCCCGAACACATAAGGCAATATTAAGAGAGCCAATGTAGAATATTAATACGTGTGTCATGAAGGTTCAAGTTAACTTCACGATAAACATAAGAAAAAACTTCCATTTGTACACACTTAACAGTTGCTATAAGAAAATATCTCATAAAAGTTTTATTTTAAGCGTATTTATCTCTATATTGCAGTATTTACCGAAATCGACAATCAAATTAAGAATTTAAGTAGCAAAACTTTTTTCATTCTTAAACGCCAAAATATTTATTGTATTTAGTGACTTATTGATTTTACATTTCATCCATAACGCTTTAAAAATGAAATAGTTGCAGCGGCATCGTAAATTAGCGTTAAAAACATTTGTTTTAATCCATAAATGTTTGCCTATATATAAATATATTAATAATGTTTGATTAAGGTGACAATTCTTAATGGGAAAGTATAGTCATTTGAAGAAATATGTTTGCATTTATTATTGAAATCATAAAATAAAGCTTTACTTATTTACACATATATTACAAATTATTAAACATTTTACCAATTTTTTGTTTCGGCAATTTCAGCATGTACAAACGGAAATGCGTCAGGAATGTAAATGCCACGGTATGTCCGGCTCCTGTACCGTAAAGACTTGCTGGATGCGGCTGGCTAATTTTCGCGTAATAGGTGATAATCTTAAGGATCGTTTTGATGGTGCATCCCGCGTAATGGTCAGTAATAGCCTAAGACAAAATAGGAATTTAGTACCAAGTAATTCTGCAAATTCAAATGTCATTGGAATGTCTAGTACGGCTCTAAGCCCTAATGCAGCTAGCCCGAATGCTTTCAGCGCAGATCGAATGATGAATGATCATATACTAGACCATTTAATAAATTCACATCCAAATAAACCACCTTTAAATACCGTTAATAGCTTGTCCCGAAATTCGGTGCGGAGCCGTGGACGTCAAGGGAAAAAGAACAATAGGTTAGTAACTAATACATATAATTGATCATACACATATAAATTTGTCAACTAAATTTTATTGAAAATAGTATGTTCAGATCGATTATGATTATTACAAATTATTATTAATTGTAATTTTATATATAAACACATATTACATAATACAAAATTATTATGTATTACACTCTCTCTTTTTCTCTTATATAGTTTTAATTTTATTTTTTCCCAACAGATACAACTTTCAGTTGAAACCGCAGAATCCAGAACATAAGCCACCTGGCCTCAAAGATATTGTTTACCTGGAACAGTCACCAAGCTTCTGCGAGAAAAATTTGCGCTTAGGTATTCAAGGAACACATGGGCGTCAATGCAATGATACATCAATCGGCGTTGATGGCTGTGACTTGATGTGTTGCGGTCGCGGCTATCGTACACAAGTCATCGACGTCATCGAACGTTGCGCATGTACATTTCACTGGTGCTGTGAAGTCAAGTGTAAAACGTGTCGAATAAAAAAAACAATACATACGTGTTTATAAGTAGTGATGAATATTTTTTAAATCTCCGCCCGATACCCTCTGAAGGCAGCTAGAACTAAAATTTTTCAAAGGAAATGTATATAAGCTTTAAAAAGTAAATAAAACGGTTATGCACTCTGCCTCAAATCATTAACAACCGTTGCCCTCCAACAGAATAAAGTGTACAGAGGATTTTTGTATGACAGGGTTACCAAGTGCGCCGGTAAAAATATCAATAGAACAAAAATAACTAACGAAAAGGAAATAAAGGGTGGGGTTTGAAGATATGCGGTGCCTTTGTTACACCCTGTTTATTTTTTTAATTTATTTTTTACAATCAACAGGTTGTTCGCTATATTAAAGGACACTACATTAAGTGAGTTGTCAATTAATTCCAACGAATATATATATATCAGAATTTCTTTAAAGTTGATACACATATATGTGTAATTATATATATATACATACATATATACTTAAAGACAACCAGCTGGGCACTGAAACTAAAAATAGGCATAAATACTTGTATATGTATACATATGTATAATCTGTTTTTATACGGTATATTGGTTCCAGAAAAACACGTTAAAAGACGTTGATTGTATGCAAAAATAGGTGATTGGTTCCTTATCTTTAAGGGGGTATTTTGGTTTAGAAGCCCGAATTTTAGGCTCTTTCTCGGACCTGACTAAAAAAAACAAGAAATATTTTTACCATACATTTTTTAATTGATGTTTATAGCGTACAAATAAATTCTAATATTAAAAAAAAAAACAATTTCAATAAAATTCCAGGCCGGCAAAGTGGGGACTGATGAAAAAATGGCGTATCCTGGTGTGCAGGATATTAGAACTCCCAGTAACTCTAAATGGAAATTGTTGAGTGATCCTTAAAGATCCTTTTTCACAAAATGGCGGCTGTTTGAAAACTATGTTTGGGTATTTCCCTATTTTTTGCAGTTCGGAATTTTTTAAAAATGTAAAAGAGAATTTTTAAAAAAATTCTCTCGTAGTGCGATACTATAATGTATAAAGAAGCTCTGCCGCGTCGAGTTGCCAGTCGATTTGGTCGGCGCATCACAAAATGAGCTGTAACTCCGAAAATAATTGAAATTAAATCGATATTTTTGAATTTCTAAACCAGAATACCCCCTTGAAACCTGTTAAAATTCGTGAAAAACAAGGTTTATATAAAACAGCTATGATGTTAAAAAAAAGAATAGGTTTTTAAATTTTTAATATAAGAAAAAATTAAAAAAAAAAATTAAAATTATAATAATAAATACAGGAACAATTTTTAATTGCTGACATCATCAGTTACTCGCAGTGCTTGTAAACTTTTTGTGGATATAAAAAGGGAATTCCCCTAAATTTACGCTTTTTACAATTGATCTGACCAGTAAACTTGCTTGTATCCCCAAAAAGGGAATTCCTGTAAATTTTAAAAAATTTTGAAACGTGCTAATGGAATTAGCGTGCCTAATGGAATAATCGTCTAAAAAATTAAAAAAAAAAAAAATTATTTACAAACCGTTTGAAATCAAAACCGTGTAAAAACAGAATTAGGTGTATATATGTGGGGACCAACGAAAATTTCACCGCGTAAACATACTTTAAGTTTAGAAGATGCTAAATATAAGTGCATTTTTTGTAAGTTGGCTTTAAACCTACCCATTAAAGCGTATTTGAACGCTGTTTACAGTATTATATCAGTTGAATTCATAATCACTAAGTAGAAGATATACTTTTTTAAGAAAAAGAAATAAACATTTTCCAGTTTATTATTTGATAAGGTGTGAGTACTTGTGTACGAATGTATATGTGAATATTGCCTTGTGCCTTGCATTGGATCTAACCGAAGACTGAGATTTTGTAGCTTGCATATTACTTTTGTCCTTTAATTGCAATTTATTGTCATATATGCTTTTTCTTATATTGTTGTATGCGTATCTGTACATACATATGTACATAAACATTAGAGTGGGTCAAAGAAAAATAATATTTTTTTTTCGCTTGGTACTCCGAAAAATTGGTTGGTAGACACCTCTATGAAAAGTTCTTTAAGTATCAGCTCTTAATTGTAACGGGAAGGGCCTCCGCTTTATCACTATCTATTTTTTTATGATTGAATGGATTTGGTAGGAAATTGCATGCTTCACTAAATGGTTTCTTAAGTTTTTTTCGTAAACCTAACAATTTAAAAAATATTAACTTTTAAAGTTTAACTATTTTAAAGAAAATTTGTATGTTTCTTTAGAATTGTATAACTCAATGAAAAATCAGCATTTTAAATTGTAAAGTAAAATTGTTTCTTTTTTCTCTTTTTATGGTTTGGACCTAGAGGTGTCTACTAACCAATTTTACCAAGCGAAAATAAATATACTTTTTTTTATCCACCTTAATATACATGTACCACATATATTCATGCTGTACGATTTTTTAAACTTACTAAAAGCCTTGACATAATTTGTACCAGTTATTCAGTATAAGATAGGTTTTAACCGATGATGATTTGGGAGTTAATTAGTTTGTTGTTTAATAAACATAAAAAAAAATAATGTTCAAACCACCATGAGACTGTTTTAGGAAATATTTTTTTCTACATACTTGATAAAGCTGTTCTGAAACCCATTAAAAATTGATTCAGGAGCCATATACGAAAAATATATAAAAGAAAAGTTAATTAGTAAACAATTATAATTTTAGTATTTAAAAACAAAAAGTATTAAAAATAATTGATCTACGAGGAAAAATATAATTTTATTCTCATTTAAATTCAATATACATACATTTCATAGTAAAATTATTTTGATTTTGACGTTTAAGATAAAATCTCAGGAGGTTAAAAGAAAATATTGAAACGGAGTTAAAATTTATTTCGTGCATTTACATTTTGAAGATTTTATTGAAGGCTGAACAAGTCGTTCACATTTAATATGTTTCATTATGTATTTTAACATTAACATGATTCATTTTTATTATAAAAATTGTTGGTTTAGTCAGTGCATATATCAATAATATCAATGATAAAATTACCTCTTGTTGAATAGAAGATATTCGAAAATATTTTGATAATATCCTCCCAATGTATTTATAGGCGTAAAACATGGTACCAACGAAACATTTTCAAAAATCATACACCTACATATTATATAAGTTCCTCAACAAATTATTTTAGCTCGACAAGCAAAAAACGTAATTAAATCTCTATCATCATTTTGTTTATAAACGCTTTCTCAGTATGCATGTTGTTTAGTAAATAGTTTGTATAAAATAGAAATATGTAATTTTATATGTAAATATATTTATGAATTACATATGTAAGTGACTTTGTATTCCTTCAGCACAAAATCTGTTTAAATACGTTTTTAGTGCAAATTATTTAATATTTTGTTAGCTAAGCCAAATAAAGTCTTGAATTAAAATTAAATACAAATAACTAATAATATTTTAAGTGATTAAATTTTTTTCTAAAGCAGTAAAAAGTATTTATTATACAGAAATTTTAATAAAAAGAAACAAAAAAATAAAATAAATGCTTGAATAATAAGTCAGACTTCTATTTTTGAGTAGAATAATTCAATTTCGTCAAATAGTTAACTGTAATTAATGTATATTCTAAAAATCCCTTCTTATGGTATCACCATATTGCATTTTTGATTTCGTACAGTTTCATATTTACCCCAAAACAAATAATAAAAACGTTTTGTTGGTAATTGGATCGAATTGGATTTATCCATCTTCGGACTGTGCGAGGAGGTGCTAGATAGGCTTATACTCAACAGGTTTGGTTGATATAGCTTTAGTGGTTTGTACGACTTTTTTAATGCGTTTTAATAAAAAAAACACTTTTAAATGTTTTTAAACCACTAATGTCCTTCCCTTAGTTTTATATCTTAATTTGTGAATAAGTTATAGCACTTCTTATGTTCCCGATTGTGGATAGTCAATCACCCGGAATTCAACGTATCTCGTCGACCTAAACATTATTCTCTGCTACAAACAGTGATGAGAGTATAAAAACAGTTGTACATACCATAAAATAAATACTTATGAATATACTTAGCTCAAGTACCTGTTCAGTTTTAATTTTTACAGAACCCTAGCAAAATATATTATAGCACACATCTAGCTTTTAAGTTATGATTATTCATAATGTAAAACATCAAAATTAAAATCCAATTATTAACAAGAAAAGAAGGTCTAAGCAGAGAATGTTAATGAATAGAGAAGGCGCAAATGTTAAATAAAATATTATTGGGTCTAGCTACAAACTCCAGATGAGGGAACATCGAAAAATATAACTCCGAAAAAGAAAAATATACCACGCAATGTGCGAAACGGAGAAAAGGCTATAAATAAATACAACGAATGAAAAATTGGCGCGCATTCCTACATATTTAGAAAAAAAATTTATAATTAAGAAAACCTTTGGAAAAATATGGAGAATTACTGGCAAAAAAAAATTACTCCAGAATTCGTAATAAAACAAACATGTAATATTCAATTTTTTCAACTTTTGTATGTGTGTTGCGTAAGCAATATGCTTATTGAACAAAGGATAATAATAAAACCATGACTAAAGCGGCCGCGTTTCCACTTTTGTGGTGGCTTAGGTCGTAAGCGTGACGGAGTTAAGCTCAATCCAAATACGAGCAAATACGTTCGAATCCTAAAGCTCATGCAACTTAAATTTTATTTAATTTTTTTATATTATTAATTGGAGGCTTAACATACATATCTCAATTCAATTACTTTAATAGCATATTTTACTTTCTGAGATGATTAAAATATTTCAGGAAAATATATTCATATGTTTAGGTTTATTGAATATTCCCTTATTATGCGTATTTGCACAAATGTGATAGTCACACATAAGTACATTCTTAAATACACGTACTCTGATGTTTGCTTGTTTTTGCCCCGCACAAGCAATGACTTTTGTCCACAGTTTTTGCTTTTTGCGAGAAGCAAGTAGAACCATCGCAGGCTAGGAGGGGTCAGGGACTGCCACATAATTATTTCAAATATATTTTAATTCATCGAATTTATTTTAAAAACGATTATAGGTACGAATTTATGTGTATATAATATAATTATTATATTACGAAAATAAGTCATTAATGCATCAGTATTTTTCAATTCAAATTAAGCAACATAATAATATAATATACTATGAGCACTCACTTAAAACGCCTCTGTGCATAGCGGCATAAGTAACGGCGAGTTCGCGCGAACATTGTGTTGTTGAAAAAAAAAGAATGACGACTTTGTGCACAAATATACATATATACATACATACATATGAGCTCGCATACATATTGACACCAATTGTGCGAATCGTCCCGAAGTTGACAAAATTTGCTTCAATCGACAATGTCAGTCGGCTATGTCGTCACGTTTGTCCTTTTTGTAGTGCTTTGCTATTGAACATTTACTTATGCTCTTTTGAAATACTGCGATTACTGATTGGGTTTTCAAAGCGTCGATTTTAGATTTAATGGGCTAGATCGATAAATTTCTTTTTTATTTTTTTTTTCTAGCGCTTTTTGTAAACTTTTTCTAGCAGTTTTGCCACAAATTGTTTTTTTAATGGTTATATTTACGTTTTTCCGGTACTTTAAAATTCCGGTTTTTTTTAAACGGTTTACGACGCGCTGGACAGAAGAATACGTTCTTCCAATAGTTTGCACAATTTTTCTGAAACTTTCGCCATCTTTCCACAACTTAATGATAATTTTTCTTTCCGACAGACTAATTTCTTTTCCTTTGGTTCAAGAACAAATTCATGAGAAGCAAGGGTATTTCCAATTCAAGCTAACTGAACGCAGACTTAATGGTGGCTAAGTTTACTTGTTCTTACACTAAAATCCCGTCATCACAAAAATTAATATAGGAATATACATTTTTTGCATTTGAACTTAAGAATATAAAGAAGAAATACATGCAGAAAATTTTAACTGCATTACCTATTTACATTGTGTTTGTACTTCACTTTAAAAAATGTGTCGGGTGAACGCAGACTTTATTGGCTATGTGTATATGATTGTCCCATTTGTGTAAATACGTATAAATAAGGGAACATTCAATAAAGCTAAACCGATGAACATACACTTGAAATATTTTAATTATCTCAGGAATAAAATATGCCATTAAAGTGATTGAATTGTGATATGCTTAGATTCCAATTAATAAAATAAAAATAAAATTAAAGTATTATGAGTTTTGGGATTCGTATATGCTTGTATTCGGATTGCGCTTAACTCCTTCACGCTTACGACCTAACGACGATTTTCCATTCGTTGTATCTATTTATAGCCTTTTCTCCGTTTCGCACATTGCGTAGTGTATTTTTCTTTTTCGAAGTTATATTTTTCGATGTTCCCTCATCTAGAGCTACAAATTAGTACTCAAAAAGATTTAATTTAACATTTGCGCTTTCTCTATTAATTTACATTCTTTGGTTCGGGTGTAAACGAACATTTAAAGAAGGAAGTATTATTTACTTGAACAATCACAAACAAGAAGATACGCTATTACTAGAAAGAGATTGTTACGGAATTTTATTACTATTTCTAACATATTTATAGGTGCGGTAGTTCGAAAATATTTTTATTAAGGGAATTAACTCGATTTAACCCATTTTTGGCACAAGGAAATGTTGCTGTCACTAAAATATTCTCCCCAAATTACAGTAATAGAACTCATAGACTAACCGATATATTCGGTAAAAAATTAGCCATATATTTGGTGTCAGGGTCCTTGAAAAGGTCTAGTTCGATTGCGAAAATTTTGAGCGTTACATTAAACATTTTGTGGACACTAATTGTGCAAAGGGTGTGGTGATTATTTGATTTCCTCTTTTTTCACAGAGTATTAAGAAATAATAAGAAGACTTCTTCTCAGCTAGTTTGGTTGACATAGTTTCAGTTATTTGGAAGACATGTGCATTTAACCGTTTACCGGCGGGACTTCGCCCACTTTTTTAAAATGTTTAGCCCCCAATTCCTTTCCCGATTCCAAACTGCAGTTTTGTATCTTAATTTAGTGCTTAGTTATGCAACTTTATAGATTTTCGTTTAATGGCGTTTTCTGGGCGTGGCAGTGGTCCGATTACGCCTATCTTCAATACCAACCCCCTTTGGTGCAAAGAAATATGTGTACTTCATCAAGATATCTAAATTCTTATTGAAGTTATCGTTTGCACGGACAGACCTTGGTCTAACCCCCGTACCTCTGATTCCTTCAATTGAACATAGTTCTTTGCAATGATTAGCTGATTGGCAATCGAAGCTGTGCTAATATGACTGTCGGAACTGACGATTTGCATTCAGCCTTTCAAAATGGCATTAAGTGTAAAACATCATAATAGATTGAAAACGCATTGGAAAAGGGAGACAAAAGAACAAAAATGAAAAGAAATTATTTACGGTTGATCTAAAGTTGTGAAGAGGAAGAGGAGCATTGTGGTTGGAGTTTTAAGGTTCAAAAAACGGTTGTAATCGATATAGAGTTATATATACTCGTATGCATATACGAGTAAATTATCACGATGATGAGACGATTTGATCGGGTGACTGTTTGCCCGTTCTTCCGTCCGTCTGCGCAAGCTGTAACTTTAGTAAAAATTGAGATATTTTAATAAAACTTTGTACAAATGTTCGTTATACCATGAGAAGTTTTTTATTCCAAACTAGATAAAAAAATTTTATTTAAAACAACGAATCGAATTAGAGATGTAAATCTATTATTTTATAAATTTTGACACTGGGCGTTGTATGGCCCCTTGACATGTTTAATGTTCACAAACCCTCAAGCCAAATCAACCAAGATTACTCAGAACAAATTTTCCTCTTACCCCCACTGAAAGTGAGAAAATGGGTAAAATCGGATTATATTTACCCCGCCTACTCCTAATATAACGGTTGTGTTGAAAACTACTATAAACCAATAACTCAATACTATGAATTACTCATTTTACACTATACAAATCAAGTACCAATGAAATCTCTATATACCACAGTAAGACCTTTCTAACCCTTAACCCCTCATTCCTTTAATTTTGTTATTTATCTCTTTTGTTGTAAAGAGTTTCATCTTACTATGATTTTTTGCTTTTAAAAATGATCTACCCTGGTCTAATTAGTTTGTCGATATTTTCGACAATTATTCTTTTATTGCGTGGTGCATCTTTGACATCAAAGTTTCCGAAACATAGTTAGAATGCTTTTTATAAGCGATTAATTCGAACATTTATTCAAACGTTGTTATTACCGATAAAGGAACGTTTTCTCGCTTTTGTGGATTGTCACGAAAAACCCGGCAAAGCTATTGCCGCTTTAATTTGTAAAATATGGTAGTAATATGAGCGGTAAATATGAAGGAGCGCAAAATCACATTCAACCTAAAAATAAATATACAGTTATTTCG